CCAAAATGGAGGTCTACAAGGCATGCGTTCTTATCACGCTACTGTACGGAAGCGAGTGGTGGACAAACTACACAAAACAAGAGAGAAAACTAAACTCATTCCACTTGCGTTGCCTTCGAAGGATCTTAAAAATAACATGGAAAGAAAGAGTGTTTAATACTGAGATCCTCGCGAGAACGGGCCTTCCCACCATCTTTACGGTCCTCGGGCAACGCCACCTGCGCTGGCTCGGACATGTTCGCCGGATGGAGGACAATCGCATCCCGAAAATCATTCTGCACGGCCAACTTGCGTCTGGTCGCCCCCACCTCCGTTACGTTGATGTGATAAAACGGGATTTAAAATCAGTGAACATTGATACTGACCATTGGGAAGACATAGCCTTAGACCCGCACTAGTTGGAGAGAGACGGTGAACAAGAAAGCTATGGACAGCGAGAAAACATAGGCCTCGATTCTTGAAGAAAAGCGTGCCACACGGAAAATGACCAGCTCCTCTACAACCAAAGCGAAAGCCACCTTGACATGCAAAATATGTGGACGGGAGTGTCTCTCCAAAATAGGGCTTCACAGCCATATGAAAAAGTGTTCGAGATGAACCATAGTCGTTTTACGACCGAAGGAGGCCAATGATGATGATATATAAATATATCTATCTTTGAAATAGCGCAATCTTCATGCTTACATCAAGCTCAGAGTGCTACAGCTCCATCTTTTTTGTAGACCATGGGGGGAGAATGCCTTTATTGATATTTAGTGTAAGGTTTTTCGTGCTACAATCACTATCAGTTCGGGTGGTGTCGAACTCGCCTTCCTTGATAGGTAGATGAGCGGTCCCAAAATAAAGGACCCATACTAAATGTATTGAATAGCATCTCGTGTTATGTTATTATTTGTTTTTTCATGTATTTCCATAGAGTTATCTTTCTTGATTCAACATTTTATGGCAAATAAACGTTACTCACGTGATAACACACTCTGACACTCACACCTCGTCACACCGTGAGCTACTACTATTATTGTGTATCACGTTAGAGATAAAGTTCAAGTCATCATTTCATTACCGTGTTCTTGTATCGTCTGCCAGCTTGCATCACATTCAAGGGACAAAACTACTAGTAGCTCACTGAGTTATCTCCCCAAAATGTTATGAGCATAGACATTTGTGAATATAGACTGGAAAAAAGAAATAACTTCATGTAACTTGAAAACATGTATATCTATTGTTGTCGGATTTCCAAATTCTGAAAAGTTGCATGATCTTCAGTCTTAGAGATTAAACAAAACTACACTGCTTTATAATAAAGTACACAAAATTGCAAGTAACAAATTTTCGTTTCATAAAACTCTCGGCCAGTCTATATTTATTTATGTCTATGATTATAGGTCACGACTTTCGCCCGAGCTATCTCCCTAGGCAGCCCATGTTTTTTAAAGTGTAATAATGTTTGCATATTAAGGCATATTTAATACTATCTGTAGCAGTGCAGCTGGCTCATTTACATTGTTAGTTGTAGAGTATCCTAGTAAGATTCTAAAATTAAATCGTCAAATAATAGTTATTAAAAATATAGGCCTATGCCAAACAAGCTGAGGCAGTTATCAAAGTTTGATCATAATAATTCTTGAAGACAGTGGTTATAAAACTTATCCATTAGCGGAACACTTCGCACATTCTCAATATTTATCGGAACACTTTGCTTATTATTTTTTTAGAGAGGTTAATGATGTGGCGGTCTACTAGTTAATTATTCTAGTAGTTACCCGGAACACCTATTCAGGTCTTGCGGAACACTAGGGTTCCACGGAAGACAGTTTGGGAAACACTGCTTTAAGATATTAAACACGAAGATGTAGAACCCAATCTCCTAAAGAAAATCTTGATGACAAAGAAATATAAGTAAATGGGACCAGTGGCGTTACTAGGGTCGGTGTCACTCGGTGCGGACTGCACCCCGCACCTGCCTAATGACGCCACTGAATGGGACCTATCTTGATAATTGGATGTCATCTGATGAACAGGTGGGGGAAACCTTGGTTGCTCGAGTGGTCTTCGCGCTGTAATAAAAAAAACAACTATAGGCGGCCATGTCTATGTTTGTAATATAAAAACAACACACTTACGCCTCCAGCAGAACATAGTTATTTGTGATGTAGTCTATGAATGGAAGCGTTCGATGAGCCCTAAATGCCTTCGATAGAGCTCTGAGGTCTCAGATCCATACAGAAGTGTGGTGAAAACCATTGCATTATTTAAAAAAAAAAACATAAATTAATACAATACTAAAATGGCAGACAAAAGAAAATAAAGCAAGCATAGGGGAGATAATGTGTATCTATTGATGTTCCGAAAATACAAAGAGAAATATTGAAGATAAAGTCACTTTTAAGGGAGATAATCAAAAGTCAACTCTCAATTTTTACTAGACCGAACAACATGTCTGTATTGTTTGCCTTGATTTTAAGAAAAGGCAATACTTAAAAGATAACATTGCCCCCACTCGGCAACATCTACGTCAGACTGGTCACAAGTGGTCAAGTTTTATATTTTTGAAAAATATACCTAGAGGCATATACAGAATATCTTACCTCAGGCAGACATAAATAAGAGTTATGAGTTTATTTGGATGCAAGAGTACAGTATCTTATCAGACGGTAGTCAGTGAAAGTACCAATTGGTCTCTTAGGTTAGGATAAAAACAAAGATAGTGGCTAGACATATTTAAGTAAAAACCTCCATTATAGATAAAGATAGTTGTTTTTTTTTTTTTGCATAGACCTAGTGAGGGGCGGACTGGGTGTCAAGATCGGCCCGGTCATTTCTATACAGTCAGGCCTATAAATTTCATATATGATGGACATCCAATTACAGACATGCCTGCCCTAAAATCAATACTAAGTTTCAGTATCGATAACTGTACACATGCATACAGTGAGCTCTATATTTTTATAAGAAATTTAGGTCTTATGTTGCTTTTTAATCACTCAGTGTGTAGCCCCTAAAAGGATGAAGCCCACTGCTAGTAGCACTGTCATTATTTCGGAAAATTAGTTATTTCACTGTGGAGAAATTTCTTTTAAACATGATGCTCAGAAGACCGCTTTCATAAAAAAACATTATAAAACTTTAAACAATTTAATACATAGTGGCATCCATGAGGTCCTTACGGTGGCCCTACCGGCCCATTCAGGTACCGGCCCACCGGGCATTTGCCCAAATGCCCATATAGCCAGTCCGCCCCTGCAAGTGACCATCCAGTGAAGAATTTAGAAATAAAATTGAAATGGTGAGGAGAATGTAACGGCTTAAAATTCTCCAAACATGATTAATTCATGATTTCAATGAATCTCAAGTTTTAAAAATATTATCTTCTAGCGACTCAACTCCGAATATCTTTTAATAATTTAGTGTCTCTAAATTTGATCACCAAACAGTGGAGTAGTGTCTTGAAACAATTAATGTTATTTGACGTTGACTTACCCGATTAGGCATGAACAACTTACGTACCGAATTGATGAGTAGAAATATGACATTTGGACTATAAGGGCGATGGCAATTGTTAACTCTTTCTCTCCGTAATTATTTACCAGATTCTGGTGGAATCAACGCTGGTATCGTCAGTTAGGAGAGAAAGAGTAAATATGGTTTTGTTGAGATGATAGATAAGAATACTGTCTTGTAATAACGGCTCATAAAGGGTATTAATGAACTTAGGGCTCAATTTATTGAGGGGGGGGGGTTGTTATGAAATCATGACCTAGGCTTTTGAGTTAGTGCTAATGCTGTACTAAGGAAGTAGGCCAGACTTGTGAAATAAGGTTTCTGCACGTTAGGCTAAAAAGCACCATGACACAAGAACCCGAGTAGTTTGTTAATGAGGGACTTTTCTTATCCCTTGAATTTGGATACATGGCGTGTCCCGCACAGTTAGCCTGGTATAGAAAAGGAAAATGGCGGAGGTCTTAGTGTACGCGGTCTCTTGCCGCGAGTCTGACCCACCCGTCAGACAGAACAGTGTACACTGTTCTCATTCAGGCCGGTGAAAGGGAGCTCTTGTTCACTTTGCCGGCCTAGAGTTCCAAGAGCCGAAGGCTCAACTCTACCTGACAGTTTCAAGAAGAAGAAGAAGGATACATTTATCTGTTACAAGAATGCTTCAAGTCACTCTCTTTTCACATTTTTAGTTTGTTTTGTTTTACATGCTTTGGTTGTTACTTCAAAATAGCCCAAAAATCACAAAAAGTACGTCCTGGTGGTGGTGGGGGGGGGGGGGCAGAGTTCGAACCCGGGACGACCCTTCAGTGTGCATAACACACGAATAGGCAGCCATCACGAGTTATGCTTTATTCTTTTAGTTATATCAAAGTAATGTGATAAACTAATTAAGGTTGTTATTGCATTGTAGATTTTTTGTTTTCCAAATTGAGGTTTCCTATAACCCCTGATTCTTCTTAAATGTAGATGTACCATACGTTATTGAATCTACGTTTGCATGCATGCGTTCAGTTTTATGCATATCATATGCAATCAAGTTGTGGGCCGAATAGTATGGTAATAATGCCAGGGCCGATTTTGACACCCAGTCAGCCCCTGATATCTACAACGTGTACTGGTTGTGCAGACCTTTATTTAACACTTTGTTTTTCTAAAGTTCAATTTAATTCTCCCTCCAATCTTAAAATGTTAAATTTCTACTTTTGCCACAGCTTACTGCAAGCTGTGTGTAATGTAATTTATAAGATAAAATTTAATTGGAAATAGTTAAACAAGGGACATAATAATTAAAAGTAATCTTACAAAATGCACTGGCACGTTAGCTCCACTTAAAAAAAAAAACTGCACTTGTAAACAGTATTTTCTAAGAGTTTCTTTTAAATTTAAAATTTTCTACCCCGTCACCGTTCCTTTTTTTTAAAAAATATTTAAATGTTATACAAAAGTCTGGGGGTGGAGCTAATAATTCAAACAAAGCCAAAAAATAAACAAAATGAAAAGATACTATTCTTAGAGAATAACACAGTTTATTATCTAGAATCTGTATGTCACAATTTTTTAAAAATGTATACCTCAGTTGTTAACTATATGTTACAGTAATTATTGTAAATAATGTTACCTATATGAAATAACACTTCCTTGACATGACCTTGGTATTGCATCATGGGACAGTATATTTGCTTACATATATTCATATTCAATGACCAACAAGTATTGAACAAACGTAAAGAACTAAGACACAAGAAACTAACTACTTTGTACTTACAGGTAAATCTACAAGAAAGAATGTACATTAAAGAAGATGTTCAGATATAATACAGAAAAGACCTTAGTCCAAACTGTTTGCATTTCATTTTCTTTAAACTACTATGGATCTTTGGGCGCATAGGTATAATGGGATATGAAAAGGCGGTCAGACTATCAAAGGTGGAGATTTCCATGGGAATACCCAAAAGACTAGTTAATTACTACACTCTCAAGTAAATGATAGCCAGCAACTACAAACAAGGCTCAACAAATGGGCATCAGAAAGCACAAGCTGAGATATTTACTAAGAAATATGGCCACTCCAAACTGAACATTATGAATTCCATCCCCCCCCCCCCCCCCCCCCCAGACATGCACTTTTAAATTTTCACCCATAATAAACTCCACACACTTGCACCTCTGTACACATTGCAAACACCTTTATGAAGCTGTCACTCCTAGTATCATAGCCTCTTTCAATACCCCAATTTTAGTAATTCATCAACAAGGAAGTTTTCTGTATGAGTAATAACATTTGGTGCTTCTGACCACTTCATTAAAGGAACAAACTTGACTTCCATTGCTACTATTATTATTTCTACTGGCCAATAAAAGACAAGCCAAAAATATTTTGAAATCACAACTGCTACATTGGAAACAACAATAACATAATCTGATAAAAATAATTACAAATATATAAGCTGATACACGAAAGTGAAAAAAAAAAAGAAATTTTTCTTTATAAAAGTTAGTCAAATGTATAGGACAGTTTTATGAAATCAGTTTAAATATTTCATAATTTCAAGCCAGAACCATAATTTATTTACACCAATGACTAACTGCTTGTATAGTACATAGCATTTTGTCTGGTTTATAAAATTTCATGAGGTAATTCTCATCATCTCATGGCTTTGCATAGAACATACATGAACGACATGACTCTATGACTCATAGATATAAACAAACAATCTATTTCTAACTCAAACAATGCTATCCAAAGTTATGTACAAACTATCTATCCAATGATCTACCATAATTTATATACACTAGTGACTAACTGCTGGTATAGCCTCCAGCATTATGTCTGGTTTATAAAATCTCATGAGGTAATTCTCATCATCTCATAGCTTTACATAAAACTTACATGAACAACATGACTCATAGATAATATAAACAAACAATTAATCTAACTCTAACCAAAACAATGCTGTCTCAATGCTATGTACAAACTATCTTTTAAAGGGTCTACCTTGTTCTCACAGATAAGTGAAATCTTATTTGAAAGAATATAAGCAGTTTCTTTTTTTAATGCTGGTAATTCAACACCCTTGAACTCAATGGGCCTCAAAAACAGGTAAACAGCTGCTATAGATAAAATTGTCTATACAAGAGTATAGAGACCTCAATTGACCCGACTTATATGAAGATTATTATTTTATAGCCTGAAACCTCCTGACCGACATCAAGGAATAGTGGTGGGCAGGATTCAAATCCAGGGCAATCATGACAACAGACTGAAGCACATACCACATGTCCATGCAGCCATCCACCTCTCAACATTAAAAGATTAATAGATTCTTCACAACTGATTAATATTTTTTTTTGCTTATTAATTGTTTCATTATATTTAACACAGACCTGAATTTTAAAAATTTATTTTAATTTGAGCATTTTTTTTTTATGTCATGGGAAAACTTAATAAAATAATCACATTTCTTTTCAAACACACACACAATATTTGTTAAAATTATTTTCAATACTTTAATTAACAATCAATAGGTGGAATAAATAATACTTCATATTCATATAGCCAAAATACATTCCAATACTTAAAAAGAAAGGATATGCAAATTGACATTATGTTTATTCACTTCATCAGTACGACAAATAATAAAGCAACAACTAAATTATAATAAAACATTTAATACAAACCTGTATAATCACACTGGGTGTATTTCATCCATTATATAAAGCAAAAAGTAACATAACTATATGTACACAATGACTTGAGACTTTGAAAGATTGTGGTTTTTTGCTTTTAAACATACAAACATGCTGTGGAGATTATTATACATTTTGGTTGATCTTTGGATCAAAATCTGGCAATAAAAATGTCAGATGAAATCACAATAAATATTTTTAAAACAAACAACACTAATAAATGAATATTTAAAAAAAAATAAATATTTGACAACTTAAAAAAAATATGGACATTTGATTTTTAAAAATTGTTTTTAAAAAAGTCAAAAAAAAAAAAATGGAATTGCATATCTTGGTTATTTATTTAATTAAAAAAATGTTTTCCAAAAAATGCAAAAACTCAGAATATAATTTGTATAAATCAACGTTGTGGGTAAAGAAGATGTGTTTTGTTTCTCATTGTTTTAGTAAACTATTTATCATTAGTTCCATTTTTAATTCAAGATTTACACAATATTACTCTGCCAACCATGTCCTTCCTAATGGATACTTGACATTTGTTTTATTCCTACTATATGTTCAAATAATATAGTAAAATTTTAAACATTCATATTTTATTTGTCATGAAAAAATAAAGAGGAAACAAAAAAAGGGCCAATATAAGAACCCAACACTTGTATTATTTAATACACACTATCCACTTATCTCATTACCCTTTTTACTATCAGTGAAATTTCAGTTTGAAATTAATGGTTCAAATATTTTTTTATTTTGTTTTTGACCTTTCACCTTTTGACTATGAAGAAAGTGTGAGCTAATTATAGGAATTGGAAGAGTTGTGCTCTGCTTCTGAACCAAAGGTCCAGGGCTCAAATCCTGGTGAAGACTGGGAATTTCAATTTTGGACATCTCTAAGTCCACCTAGTGTACCTCAAGTAAAGGTGATTGGTTGGTTGGTATGTTGGCCACACAACACCCTCATTTGCCATATACCACAGAAACAGATGACCTTTACACATCATCTGCCCTAAAGATCGTTTGGTCTGAAAGGGGAGTCGTTATAAATTTTATAATTATTGGACTTCAAAAATTGGTAGTAAGTCTTTGTGCAAGCATAAAACAGCCTTGTTCATTATTTTATTCAAAAACACAATTGGGCTTTATAGTGTCCTTCAAACGTAGTAAGAAAACTAAATCATTAAAATAAATCTTTAAGTAGTTTATTAACTTAATAGCAGTGGGCAGTTAATTCAATTTAAAATATATATTACAAATAAAAGAAGCCCCAAAATAATGCTATGCTAATTATTACACATTTTCAACAGCAAACATATCCATTTAGAAATGTTTAAATTCTCTCTCTTCTTATTGCAGTTTAATTTACTTTAAATGATAATTACTCCAACCTTATTGTAACTACATCACAGTGGAAAGTGATCAATGATCACTACAGATCATTGTCTCTGAAACTAAAGAGTCAGATGAGATTTTAGATTTATTTTCCTATTTAAAATAGCATTAAAAAAAAAAAAACATTTTAAAAATATAGTTAAATAACAATAAAACACATTGTTTCCTTTAAAACAAATACTCATTTTAAAATGGAAGCATCATCAAATGAAACTACTCAAAATATCAGCAGCTGCCTGTTTTTCTCTTATCAACATGGTCACTCCATGAAAGACATCATCTTCCCCTGAAAGACATCATTTATCTTCCCCTGAACCTAGATTCATGAGCTTTTCTTTCTCCTTTTGCATGAAGGCCTGCAACACATCCACACAGTTTTGTCTGTTAAATCTCTTGGCATCATCAATAGCCTTGTTCATTATTTTATTCAAAAACACAATTGGGCTTTATAGTGTCCTTCAAACGTAGTAAGAAAACTAAATCATTAAAATAAATCTTTAAGTAGTTTATTAACTTAATAGCAGTGGGCAGTTAATTCAATTTAAAATATATATTACAAATAAAAGAAGCCCCAAAATAATGCTATGCTAATTATTACACATTTTCAACAGCAAACATATCCATTTAGAAATGTTTAAATTCTCTCTCTTCTTATTGCAGTTTAATTTACTTTAAATGATAATTACTCCAACCTTATTGTAACTACATCACAGTGGAAAGTGATCAATGATCACTACAGATCATTGTCTCTGAAACTAAAGAGTCAGATGAGATTTTAGATTTATTTTCCTATTTAAAATAGCATTAAAAAAAAAAAAACATTTTAAAAATATAGTTAAATAACAATAAAACACATTGTTTCCTTTAAAACAAATACTCATTTTAAAATGGAAGCATCATCAAATGAAACTACTCAAAATATCAGCAGCTGCCTGTTTTTCTCTTATCAACATGGTCACTCCATGAAAGACATCATCTTCCCCTGAAAGACATCATTTATCTTCCCCTGAACCTAGATTCATGAGCTTTTCTTTCTCCTTTTGCATGAAGGCCTGCAACACATCCACACAGTTTTGTCTGTTAAATCTCTTGGCATCATCAATAGGCATGAAATTCCACCTGCCAAACAGTAAAAAAAATCAAACATGACCAATGGAGGTACTTAAAATTTACCCAGTTTCATAAGGGGGAAACATTGGCTGAGTGGTTAAGCGCTTGGCTTCCATGCCTGAGGTCCTGGGTTCGAAGCTCTGTGAAGACTGGAATTTTGAGTTTTGGGATTTTGTGGGCGTCCATGAGTCCACCCAACTCTGACTTTAGTTGGTGGATAGTAAAGGCAGTTCGTTGTTGTACTGGCAACATGACACCCTGCTCATTAACCATTGGACAAGAAACAGATGACCTAAACATCATCTGCCCTATAGATCGCAAGGTCTGAAAGGTAAACTTTTACTTTACTTTACTACAAGAGGAAGAGTCAGGGATAAACCTATCTAATAATATAGATACTACTTCAAAAGAGAAGATAATTACGTCCACCCATATCCCTGTATTAATCTAGTCATTCATGTTAATCAGTAACCGAAAATCTTCCAAATCGTTGGTTTTCCTAGATGATTCAGGCAACCTATTCCAAACTCTAATAGCACTAGGGAAAAAGGAGCACTTGTACAAGTTTGTCCTAACATAACTTAATTAGTCAAAGCATTAGAAAAATATAATATTAAAGTAGCTTCTTGTTTTAATCCCTTGTTGGAAACTTGTAAAAGAAAATTTAACTAAAAAATTATCATTTAAAATTTATGATAAAAAAGACAAGATAATTTTTTTAAAAAAAGGTGAAAAAGATGCTGATAGTAAATATATTAGTTAACCATTATAAGGAGTATATTGTTTTGCCCTGCATTGATAATAACATATATACTGACCATTATTTTATTTCTAACAAACTAGTTGCTGGCATAGCAAAGTAAAATTATAAGACCAAAACACTAGAATGGCTGTCTGGTCATGAGATATGCCATTTGATTTGAACAGT